AGTTCAGATGAAAGAAACGGCTCATATCATAACCGGCATTACCGCAATTTCGTGTCTTGATGTTGGCTGAATTTCAGATGTAAACAGTTACCCCTGTGGATGCGACGGTTGTGACCGGTCGGATGTTGGGTCGGCGATGGTCGTCGCTGGGCTCAAGCCTTGAAGATATGGAGATAGCGGCGCGTGGGCGTACTTGATCGTTGGTTCGGAACTCCGGCGCGGCAGTGGCAGGCCAGGTTGGTGTCGGACTGGGCGGAGGCGGTGACGGCAGCGCTGTCTCGGGTTGACGGGGCGATAACGGCTCTAACGCGGGTTGACGGCGCAGTTGACGGACTGGCGCGGCAGCAGTAGTCCGGCTTGAGGCGGCTGGCCGGGTTGGGGCAGGCGCAGATGCGGCGGTTCCAGTCAAAACGGGGTTGACGGTGGCCGGAGGTTGCGGCATACGGCTCCTCTGGACGCGGTGGGCGCCCGCCGGGATGACTGGCTCTGCGGGTGGCGGCGATGGTTGGGCCGTGGACTCTCTGCAGGCGGGGGACCACTTCTGGTGGGCTTTGCAGCTCTTCAGTGTCTCAAACATCATCCGGCAATTATGGCATCTGAAGACCAGGTGGTGGAGGTGGTATCGCCGGATGTGTTTGGACAGGTCCCCATGGCGTCTGTAGGTCTTCGGTACTGGATGGCAGATCCGGCAGGCGACCGTCTCTGGAATGGGCACGTCCAGAGGGTACGCGAGCTGCTGGGCTTGGTTGTCGGCGGGCTGGGTGTTGCTGATGACCTCGTCAGGTGATACCATATTGGGGCGGGTGGCTTCAGTGGATTCTTCAGCAGAAGTGCCGGATGGCAGCTCCTGCGAGTTGATTGCTGGTTAGCCCTGGCGCAGCAGTTTTCTCATGTAGATGCCGGCGAAGGGGTGCTGGCAATAATCAACAGCCTCCTATTCAGAGGATGACGAAAGGAAGCTGGCAATAATCAACAGCTTCCTTATGAGAGAACACTTACCGCACTTTACTGGCCAAGAACAGTGAGCTTTTCTCCGTCCTTATCGATTCGCCGGCAATAAACACAAAGTTTCACGCAATTAAGCTGATAAGAACAGATAGTTTATTTAGCGAATGCTTTGACAGAAAAGTATTAGAACAGTGATGAATAAGAGCTCTTGGCAGCTAGTGCCCGACTCTTGTGTGTTGGTTTTTTGATAGTTTACAGCTCATTGATCGCCTCGGTTTGCCTCCTGGTACTGTCGGTTGCCCGTCACGTGTTCCACGTAGACGTCCCGACTCCAGCGGATGGTCTCCGTGCACATGAGTCGTCGCATCAGGTGGCAGTAGCGTCTTCCCAGCCCCAGGCGGCTCAGCGTTCTCTCGTTTTCCGGGTCCCAGCCTCCGAGAGAGCCGATGATAAAATCGTCCATGTGGACGTCGTAACCCCTGGCAATGAAGTCGTCGGCGATGTGTTGGTATTTCCCCAACTTCTCAGCCCTGGTCGCCTCGAAAGCCTTGTACTGGTTTTCGAATGCGATTGCGACGTCCACCACCGTCGACCTTCGTTGAAGCCGGGCAGCGTACGGTTGACCTTGACCACTGTGTCGCCAGGTGGTTTAAACGCTTTGGTTAACCTGTTGAGCACAGCGTCGTGTCGTCTGGTCATGGCGGCGAAATGCGGTTTGCAGTGATTTAGGACATGCGGTAATGTTTCGCTGGTGTGTCTGTTTCGCTGGCGTATCTCCGGCATCTCTTGTCACCATTCCCGTGCCTCCGAGCTCCGTTGAGTGGGACGCAGTCCAGCCTTGCTCTGTGGACAAAGCGCCATTCGGCAAACCTGGTGAAGTCTCCGCTCCGCATAAAGTGGTTTGGTGCAGTTGCG